GGGTGGAAAGGCACAATAGCTTTTAATGTTGCAAGGCTTTTCAAAGAGGAAGAAAGCAGTAACAGAGGCAGAAAATTTAAAAGCATCATCCATTACTGTAAACTGGTGACATCTTGCATAATCTGCTGCTTAACACACTCATACCACCTAATGGACGTTTACTAGAACTCAGGCACCATTATTATTCTAATTACTGTTCCTTGTGAAGAATGTTCTCACAACAAATTGTTTGTTATATATGATGCACTCACGCCAGGCATCACCACCCTAAAAAAATATGCATTTGTAATTTAAAGATGGCTGTAAGTTTGGAGCCTCAAGCTCCTTTCTCAACCACTCTCTTTTGTATTGCCTTTGCAAATTGCATGATAACCTGGATCCACTATAATTTACTCACATTTAGCACTATTTTTAAAATAAAAATCTCCTAATAATCCTTAGTATGGGTAAAAATGGTTTGCAGTTTGCATCCATCAGCCAAAGTACTTTTTTGTACTGCAGTTCTAAAGGAACATTTTAGGAATTATGTATAAGCAAAAAATCAAGAATACTGTACCTTTGCTAAATCAACTTCAGCACTTCCCAATTAATTACCTTTTACAACATTACTAACTTTTCCTCCATATTAAAGCACAATTGAAATGTGGGGGGAAGGAATATCCTAAGTAAAATCTATTCCTGTAAAGCTTAAACTGGCCACAGACCTCACAGAAAAATTATGTCTGACCACTCAAAGTGGATTATCAAAGCCCAAGCAACAACAAAACCAGAAAAAAAACCCCACAAAACAACAGCAGAAGAGAACCCTCAAACTTCCACAGGCTATTAGAAAAATCTTACTTGGACTTGTTGAAATCAAGACAAAGTCACCAAATTAAAGTTAGAAACTTGCTTTGTAATGTTTTCTAGAACATCTGCTTAGGAACAGAGTATCCCAAGTTGTATTGAATTATTAATCCAAAATTGATCAAATTTCTTGTTAAAGAAGATAAGTTACAAACAAGGGAGACAATCTGAAAAATGCCTGTTAGATTTTGTCTACTTGTACAAGCAAGGAACCAGTTCAGACCTCCAGCTGCAGAGAATTTGAACATCTACAGTGAAAAGCAGAGAAATTTTACATCAGCAGATTTCTCAATGTCTGCAGAGCTACCATCTTCATTTTGCACTATGCTGAGAAATTACGTATTATTTTTAAAATTCAACTACCTTTAACGACCTTTAATCTGTATTCTGGAAAAGTAACTATTGTTTGTGACAAAGCTTAGTATTTTCAGCATCATTAATAATTTGAGTAGTAACTTCAAATTTTTCAATGTGATATGCATATCCATAGACACACACTTTAAATCTATAGGCAAATGAAAACTTTTGCATATGATTTAGGTTATTAGCTGATTAGAAAACATCTGATAGCAATATGGGAACACACTGGCAACGTCAAACATGTTGAAAATACTATGAGCAACAACTCAAACCCTGAAAATATGAAAAACTGAAAAAACATCCTTTCAGATGAGCTGAAAATTACAAAAAGTCATCTGGCTTGTGCAGAAACACAAGGTTCAGTTTTCATATGAAAGAGAAATTCTTTTTAGTCATGTAGCAAAGATACACCACAATACATCAAGCACACAGGCTGAGAGAGTCCTAAAGCCAAACACTGGCAGCCCATTCTCTGAGTAATGAAAAAATATATATAAAATAGCTATGATGGGTACAGCTCATAAACTTCAAGACAAACGGAAGAGAGAGCATGAAGTCATTGTTCAAAGCTCAGGTGCCAAACAATGATGATCTATTAACAGAAAGCAAGAAAACACTGTCTCTTACAAAGCAAGATGTTATAACTTGTAAACTTTTTTGATCATGCAAACCTCATGTTCATAAAACAGAATTCCTCCTTTCCCAAACCTACTGTATCTGCAGTACAAGGTGAGTATACTTTGACTTTGCATGTGGCCAGCAAATTACTGCATGTGTTCCTAAAGATATAAATTCACTTCATTTGCCATGTGCTGATCTGAAATAAAACAACATTGAAGTACCATCCTTCTACTCCTGTTCTAACAGGCAGAGTAAAATTACTCTGGGTCTGTGTAAGGCCTATGTAAGCATCACCCTTTGGGAATTCTGTACACAAAGAAAGCTGATGCCACAATTTCCACACATTACCTTCAACCTGAATCAATTCTCCAAGCTTCATATTACAATAACAACAAGTGGCTTTACATTTATTAGAGAAAATACACAAAGGTTCTAGTGACTACTACTCTGCATTCTGAATTTTAAATGTTACTTTAATATGACATCCTGCAAAGCTCTTGGCAAATTACTTCCCAATTTGGGGCTGCAACTTCAGTTTAACTTCTTCTCCTATAAGCAATTTCAACCACAGCATTGAATAAAAGTCCCAAAATTGAAATTACCATAGAGCTATAAACAAAAATGTTGTTTCAGATCTTAGCTCTGCCTTTGAGATTTATTTAACATACAGCCATCTGACAGCATTTGTGTCTTACACTTTCTCATTTTCTCTTATACAATGAGAAAAAAGGGTAAGAGTGACCAGCTAGGTGGTTTCAAAAGGGAAACAAAAATTCCTTGAAAAGTAGTCCAAACAGCAAATTAAACTCCTCTTTCCATTACAGTAAATGTTGATAGCTTTGATGGGTTTCCAAGACACAGAATTCAAGTTTATCATCATACACTTCTTCTCTTTTGCACTGTACTAAAAGTATATTTTTTCTTGCTCTAATAATTATATTAGGACAAAATGCCAAGGCACAGGAGATAAAAATTTTCCTTCCTCAGGTATCTTAATAACAGCAAGTGAATCTGCAAGGTTTAAGTTATTTTAAGCACAAAACTACGAAGTACGGTAATCTGAAAAAATTAAAACTTTATTACTTAGACTAGTAATAACAAAAAGTCATGCACTGACAGTCTTAAATTTTCTGTTATTAGGCATGAAGCTCAATAGTGCAAGTTTCCTCATTCCACAACTGTGTCTCTCTCTTTTTGTTTTATATACAAAAATTCTGTGTTTATGTGCTAAAAATCTTTCTATGTTTAGCAAATCTGATTATCTTCTGCCAAAAGTGCTGGTTGTGTCCACAGTTTTGCTATGCAGACACAGAAAGTAACACAACTCCAACAAAAAACCCTAAAATGCTGAAGACTGACATTACAAAACTGATGATACCCATAATTACCATCTGTGGCAACTCATGGGCTGTCTCAATCCAACCTCAGCTGGTGATTCATACACTGTATTACAATTCTGGCAGCACTAAGAACTGGCAATGTAAAATTGGCTATGTTGAACTCAATCCTACATTGGTGTGTATTCCTGTATCTTCTGTAATGCTACTTTGACTTTATAAACTAAAATAAGTAGATTTAACTGAGTCACTGCCACATCTCACACTGGTTAGATCCATTTAGCAAGAAAAATTAAGACTTTCTGAACTCTAACAAGACAATTGAAAGACTCTAACAATTGAAAAAAAACCAAACCACAATGTTTTTTTAGCAAAAATAGAAAGAATATAGCACAAGTCAAAGCTGCATTCTTAACAGCTATCAAGTATTTTAAATTCCAAATATCATATTTTGCTTTAAAAATACCTACAGAAGCATTTTTTTAATCCAGAAAGCAACCTTTTGGGATGTAAACAGTTCACTGAAATACAGGCTACTCATACATACTCATACTACTTTACTGTCATGGTAATGCCTAAGATGACAAAAACTAAGGAAATGCAACCTGCTTAAAATTAGACACTCTTACAAAGACAGAGATGATACTTGTCTTAAAATGAATTTAAAAAAAAATAAAACCACATGGAACTCAATTTGAGCACCCCTTCAACCAGGTAATCCTCAGCAACCAGGAGGAGCAAACCTCTTATTTATTCTTTTAGTAAGCCCCAATGATGCAGTTACTGTAGCTGTGCACTAAATGAATTCTCCTGTATTTGTTTTTCAAATATGATACAATGAGTCAATAAAGCTCAGAAGGGCTTCTTAGATACAAACAAAGGGCAAAAAAACCCCTCAGGTGCCAAAGGTAGTTGTTCCATATTTCACTCTGATGTATGGAGTTCTAAAGCTAATGACTAAAAATTACTATTAAAACTTTCTCTCACATAAGCTAGTCACAAATATCTTCAATTTGACATTAAAAAACCAAAAACTAGGCTAGCAGGTAGAACAGCAACAAAAAATACTTCAATATTAAAACACAGTATGTGTAATAAAGGAATTCTCATTCTTGGACTAATAGTTCATTAATGAACCTCAGTGGTCTTTTTCAGCTCACTGTTTTTCAGCTCACTTACTGTGTAGAACAAGCTTTGCCACAGAGGGATATTATCAACTTCAGATACAACCTCATCATTAAGCGTAAAGGCAATTTCAGATATGCCCATGTGGAAGTTTTGTGGGGTTTTTTCATATTCTTCTTTCTCTCCTCCCTAGCAATTACTTAATTACAGTTACATAAAACCTCAGGGCACTGATTATAAAAAGTGAAAAAAAAAATCTCTGTATCTCTACTATTAGGATTGGACCTATACCAGATAAAAGTCACATGCAAACAATTATTTGATTTTTTTGGTTTATGGTGATCCTTCGACTTCAGAGGTTTCTGGAAAGAAGGAAACGACAAGCTGGAACACATACCTAATTTTTTTTCTGTGAAAAAAGTCAAGCTTAAAGTGCATAATTAAACAGCATAGAAGAATTATACAATCATCAAAATATGTACTCATATAATAAAACATTTGTATTCAAACATTTGGGCCAAACTACTTTCTAATGCTCAGTTTAAATGATCAAAAAGAAGTGTATGAGTGCAAAGGAAATTAACTGACTGTATGACATACAGACTTGTATGGACTTTGTTTTGCCATGAGCAGCATAAAACATTTGGTGGAAGGAAAAAAATTACCTTCCAAGACCAGTAATAAATTCCTAAAACACACTGCCACACACACCTGTTGCCATGTGGCTTTTTGCAAAAGCCACACTGTTTGCTGGGCACCCAAATATGTTTGCTTTCACTAGCAGAGGTATGTTCCAAGCCTTCCTTTTTAACAGTGGAAATGTTATCTGGAATGAACAACGGAGGTTCATCAAGTGAAAGACTTTTGCTACTTCTTCTCTGGCGAGGTTGGAGATTCCTATCATTTCTTTTTGACTTGTTTTTTTCCTTATCATCCTCCTTCAGAAGTTCTACAGCAGAGGGATCTTTAGTCTCTGCCTCTTCCTTTGTAGAGTTATTAGCTTTTAGCCCAGTTGCAAGCTGGTGTTTGCTGGCTTGCTTCTGACCAGGATGTGAAACATGACCTGACACTGAATGCACAGAGTGGTGGCTATCTTTAGAACAGCTTTGAGGAGTAGGAGACTTCTCACTTGCTTTTTGAACTGATAACTTCTGGGCTTGCCCAGAAGCCTGGACTCGGGGTATTTTCTTTAGCTTTGTGTTGGTCTGTTTTTTCACAGTCACCCCTGAAATGCTACTCTTTGCTTTCAAACCCAGATCAGATTGTTTCTTTCTAATTTTAACTGGGTTACTTGGATGCTGATGACTCTCTTGCTCATCCGCATTTCGCTTCAGACTTGCTGAAGAGGGACTGTGAAGGCCCGAAACAGCAACACCAGCTCTCGTTCTTGACCGAGTCGTTTCTTGTTGCACTGAACCTGATTTCTGCCGAGTACCTGCACTCAGATTTTGTTTATTCTGCATTATGGATTTACTATGCCGGGGCCTAATGTTCTTTTCACATTTTGTTGAAATATCAATTTGTTTCTCATCATTCTGCAATTTTGATGCCTCTGGGCCTCCTACGTTAGTACTGTCGATCTGCTGCTGTACATTTTGGCTTGACTGGTCAACAACAGTGCTTTCCAAAATGCTATTTCCTGGGTCAGCTGAAGTAAACTCTTTGCTTTTCAAGTCTTTATTATCACAGTGCGTACTGTCCAATTGTTTCTCAGATGGAGTTTCAGTTTTCTCCATTCCTTTGTCATCACCTCCAGCTTCTGTTACACATTCCTTTACTGATAATGCATTTTCATCAAGAACTTCCACACTGTGGGAACCTGAACTGCAATCAACCCCCTCTTTCACAGAGCTGGACGAATTTGAAAAGGTCTCACAAATTCCATCTGTATTCAAGCAAGCACTGGATGAATCAGTATCTTTTCCAGTTATTTCAATTTGATCATGTTCTTCTGCTTTCTTCTCTGATTCCTCTGCTTTATTGTCAGTCTTTTCTTCTGAAGAATTTTCCAAGCCCATTGAATCAATCACACCACTTGTATCATTTTTAACAGGAATCATTTCAGTATCTGCAGATACTGAACAAACTGACTCAGCACCCCCAGAGTCAGTGTTCATTGCAACCTCTACTATTTCCTTTGTTTCCCCAGGAGAAGGAGAACACGGTTCTGTTAAATTAGCACAACTTAACTCTTGGGATGTTTCTTCAACTTTTGCCTGCTCAGGCATTTCAGACTTTATTTCTTTCACATCTTCCGGACCAGGCAGACATTTTGTATTACTTTGGGATGCTGTTACTGCTGCTGCTGCTTCTTCCAACTGTCCTGATCGTCTTGTACTACGCCTAACCTCCCTAGGCTGCTCCGCTTTCAGGCGTGCTGCAACATCTGTCTCTTTAACTGGACTTCTCTCTTGTTTCTGTCCATTTTTTGGAGCAGGTCCACTTTTCACAGATGATTTCTTGGTATTAAGAGGAGGAGCAACATTCGAGCGCTTGGCTAGAGTGCTCTGCCGCAGACTCCGTACAGGTTCTAGGAAGGGAAGAAGAAAATCTCTTAACTATTCTGCTTCCTTCTTTTTGCAAATACAAGATTTGCCTAGAACAAAAGTGACTTACCCCAATTTAGCTTTCTGGATACAAAGAGGATTTAAAACTTAGTTATTTACTAAATTTAAAAACCTCCCCAAAGTTAAATGGCTCGCATTTCAATTTTACACAGACATAGTTTGGATGTAAAACCCCATAATTCTAAAAGCTATGGAATTTCTAATTAGTATATACAAAACACAAGCGATGATAGAAAGGCAATCTAACTACTTTTCTACCTCTCATCCTTTTCCACCTCTAACAAAAATTGCACAAGCCATATTGTGATTAGAAATATAAACAAATCTGAGATCCAGTCACATTCTCAGCTGACAACTACTTTTATATTTTCTAAACAAGTAACTATTCCTGTGGCTTTCTAAACAGCATAATCACCTGCTTTGTACCACAGGCTCTTATTTAAATTTTAATTGCCATAATAAATAATTTTATCTTTTTAACTCAACCTGCTCTAGAGGGAATAAGCAGAGCAGTAAATAACTCCAGTTCAACAAGTTAGAAATCCCGTAACTATAATAAATTAGCTAACAGAAAGAATTAAAGTATTTTAATAAAATATTAAGTATCTTGAGATATTTGGATTAAAGACCTTCTGACTGAAATTACTATAACCTAATTCAAAGTACAAAGAGAATATGCAAATAAAAATAGAATCAAAATTTTACCTGGAAATAAGAGACGTGCTAACCTAATATTACAATGCTGTTTTGCAACTCCATCATGCTTTTGTTAGTGAAGAACAACATTATTAATCTTATGTAGGTGAAAGGATCAAAATCTCAAAAATTAGTTTAATGACCATAAGGAAGACACTAAATATTTATTAAATAGGAATTCTAATTGACTCATATCCTATGGATGCCAGCTTCTAGCTGTAGTGTATGAAAAAGGAAGTTTCTATATTGGAATTCACACAACCAAATTAAATTTATAAATGTTGGGATGGGATTTTAAAGATTTGGTTTACTTCAAATGTGCAAACATAGTCAGTAATCACCTTGTGCCATTAAACGTGGTGATTTCCTCGGCGATGTGACTGATGCTTCTTCAGCACGGCCTCTCAAATTCCTATTAGGTAAAGCAAGCTCATCGTCATCAATGGTGTCATTACCACTCTCTTTAACTCCTTCTTCATCCATAGTATCATCAAGACCAGTAACTGGAAAAAACAAACAAACAAACAAGAGCCTAAAACTTAAAATGATCAAAAAGTGTTGCAGCTATAATGCTGAGCAAGACCAGGCAAGAGACATTGAAAAATAAATAAACTGGTCATCTAAAATCAAACAAAAGAGAAAATAAAAAGAAGAAATAAAGGTCAGAAAATTCCCATGTGAGGCAGTTTCAGTGTAGAAGAAGCTATCACCCATAGCTTAAAACTTCTGTAGATAGTCCTCATAGCTTTTTTGTGGACTCACATTTTTACTGGGTTTTTTTGCCACAGGAATGTCCCCAGTCCCAGAGGATCAGCTGCCCCTCACTGTCCCTTCCCACCTAAGAGAAAGTGAAGAAAGGTAAACAGCAGAAAGAGCTGATCCAGAAGTGCAGAGTGTAAAAATCACAGTTTTCTGACAGGATACCATTTTAAAACTCTCAGCCCCACCCATACCACATATCTGTGCCTGTAATGCGTTTTTGGAAGAGCTTTAAGTGTAGCAAGCACTTAACCTCCCAGGAGAGACCGGGAACATTGCCATTGGTGAACTCCTATCCTCCACTAACCTGAGAAAGGTCCCAGAGGTTGCTCCTGAAAACAGGTTTCCTAAGAGGCAGTCAGGTCACTACACCAGCCATTCTCCTCACTTGCTCTAAATTTGGTTCTTGCAGTGGTAGCCTCTCCTAGTTAAAGATCCTATGTGTGATTAATGAATCCTGGTCCCCATGAGATGCAAAATTTGCAAGATCAAGCCGAACACCCAAGTGACTTTACAAAACACACAGGAAGGTCTAACAAATATAACAGACTCCCAACAATCAAGCATGCCTGTTTTTCACTACTAAGACACAAACCTTGAAGCATTTTTAAGACAAACTCACATGACACATATAAGATATCTAAAAATTTCTAAAAATTGCTCACTTAAAATTATATAAATTAACACATCAATCAGAAAAGTAAAAAAGCAAGAAGTTAAATTAAAAATTGTTAGAATTTTTAGACCATCTCAGAAAATCTGTCAACTCTTGGTCCTTCTCAAGTTTGGTATTACTGCAATTTTTAAAAAACAATGAAAAAACAAAGTAACCAAGCAACATGTTAGAATTTCTAATATTAGAAAGTCTTTTATCAGCCTCTTAAGGAAGGCTGATCACGGCACCAGGCAATCAGCATTCTGAACCTCTGTAATCAGATGGGTGCCAGGAGCTGAAAACTAGGGAGTTTAAACTAACAATTTATGGTCATTTATTTTATTTTAACCAATATTTTTAGTTAGTGCATTGTACACATCAGTTACAAGGAAAATGTTTGTGGAAATTACTGTCCACTTCCACTCTCCAATCCACAGTGCCACCTTTTTATCTGTGTGTGTTTACAAACATACAGATACCACGTGCAAGGTGCATGAGGCTGATAAATTTGGCCTTACTCCACTCAAGAGTGTTCCTTAATCCCTTATTTGCTATAAGCTACATACTGGACACACTAGCAAAAAAATTACATTGTAACTGCCCTATTAGACATTTTCCCAGTAAATATCTAATACTAGCTATTGTCTAAGATGGAAACCTGAAGGAGAAGGACGCTCACTCTAACTTCATTCAGCTGCCCATTCTCATGTTCTCAAAGATTATATCCTCCCAGCAGCTCTGCACTTTGGTATTTGTGTTTTCATAGTATTCCTGCAACACACAAAACTGGCTTTTGGGAACAGACTGTGACAAAAGAGACTCCTTTCACATCCACTTTTCTTCTTTCTGTGAGAACTAAATTACAAACTATTGAAGACAGCATGAAAAATAAAAACTATTAGAATAGCTTCTGAAACAACTTTGGAGCATATTAAAGGGCTGACATTAGTCTTGGGCTTTACAACGTTCTTGCTCAAGTTACAGAATTTCTACACCCTCCCTTCTTAATAACAAGAGACACATTCAGTCCATTATTGACAGACAGTGTGAAATATTAGAATTAAAGCATTTTCATACTTACAAGACTCTGTGCTGTAGCTTTAATTTTACAGAGGAATTGAAGCACAGAATCTTGCTAATTTCAAACCACCTGAGCTACAACTCAGCTAGTAAAGACAGTCTCATGAGGCTCCTGATGAGGAGCATTCCACACAGACCCTGCTGGGAAGAGAAAAATGACAGAGAACAGCAATAGATACAAAGAAGACTAGAAAAGTAAATTATGAAGGAGAAGTGGAGGTAAAGAAACAACCCTAAGAAAGGTAAACCAACAAAAGCAAAATCGGAAAGAACAAAAAAAGCAGAGATGATCTTTGTAACAAATATCTAAATATTATCTCAGCATCAAGTATAGAAATTTTAAAAAATAGGAAAAAATAAAAAAGGAATAAAGAAAGAACTTATCTGAACAGAAGAGTTGTACACCAGTGTACAACTGAACAGATTGCAAATAAGAAAAGTACGAGTCACATTCAACATATTTAGTCACATTCAGCATATTTATACTGGAAAAGGCACCACTGACCTTCACCTTACTATTTTGAGTTTCTCCATTACTTGCAAAGTATCTGAACTTCTAAACTGCTGGGCTGTACTGCTGACTCAGTTTTATATATGTTATACCATAATAGAACAATATTCAGTAAAAACAGTCTACTTGCAAATTTAAAGCAGTGGTTTCCCTATGCTAAAACAAAAGCATGACCATTTTTTAATTTTTTAGCAATGTAAAACTTAAGAAAACAAGCCTTACTTTCTGGTAAAAGAGGAGGTAAGGAGAAGGAAAAACCCCTAAATACAGCATCAAAAACTATGATGTTTATAAATCTTTATGTTTATTAACATAAGACTTTCTTCCATTATTTTCAGCCAAAACTAAGACAGAAATACTTAGTCTGACCAAGGTAAATATAAAGTGTAGAAATAAGTTTTTTCTCTGTAGATGTTAGTACTGGATTTCTTTTGCTTAGGTAAGCACACCAAATAGAACATCACTGTTGCTCCTGCTTTGCACTGCGTCCAGCTGAATCACACTAATGGCCAGAATGTGCAAATCCACAGTAGACTCCATATAAACATCACAGATTATATGGAAATGGTTGAACATTGTAAAATTTCTGCATTACATGGGAATAACAACACAGAGATGTAACAATTCTTCAATGAAAAGAACAGTTACAGTCTAAAGCAGTAACTAACACATCCAGGTAAGCCTTCAGAGGAGCCAATAAACTCCAGTGAAACAACAAAACATATAAAGATAGTGATACTTTGTCAGTAAGTCTCAAGATCGTAAATGAGGATGGTATACTTTCTATGAGAAACCTTTTTCCTATTGACATTTGTGATGCATATGTTCAAGAAACAAGATTAAAAATACTTTCTGCTAAAATAAGACATATTTTCAAGGGAAATTATGTGACTGATGATGTAACTTACATAAGGAAACATCCAATTCCAACTGTTTTACAAAAGTTTGCCTGTAATCTATTGAAATGAGAATTTGCCTGCGAGTACTTTGAGCTGACTGTCCAGTGCAAGAAAAGAATCACAGTAAGTAACATGAAATATTAACCAAACACTTGCTCCCATTCTCCACTAATGTCTGTGTTGTTAAGAGGTAATTTTTCAGTCTTTAGAATAAAGATGTATGAAAATCAACTAGGATAAATAAACTTAATACAGCATGTATCTTGACAGAGGACTGAATGCCCATTTTATTAAAAAGATGGAGCTACATCACAAGCGTACTGAACAGTGGTTCTTTAGAGACACAAGCATGTTACATTGGAAATAAGGAGCAGAAAAACAAATTTCAACAAAGTAAAATCACCACATCAAACCAAGCACTTTAATGTAAATTAATTAATTTTATTAAGAAGGGAGTCTTCATTTATTTACAAATCAGAGAGCTAATCTAAATTGCTTTGCAAATCTTTGTACAGATCCAACCTCTCTCCACCCATGAAACTGATCCAAAGGCATACTAAATACTTCAGAAGGACCTACACTGGGGAATATAAACAGAAAAAGGCACAAACTATTCTCCAGATTCTCAAGACCAATACAATACATTTAAATTTTATACAGAAAAGTTACTACCTTGCTCATAAAACACTGTGTAGCTGCTCTCTGGACAGCTTGGAAGAAGGAAAGCATAAAGAGGTAAGAAAACTGAGACAAACAACTGTAAACCGAATTTTGGAATCTCAAAGTCACATTCAAAATTACTTCAAATGTAGGAGGAAAAATACGTGTACATTTGGCTTTACTGAAAAGAGCCCAAAATGCCTAATGCGGCCAGGCATCATGCAGCTAAAGAAAAGAGTATTTTTAGTCAGAAAAATTGGTTTGGCTTCAAAGATTCAGTAGCTAATAATGATTTTAGCAGAGGTAATGCTGCTTTTAACAATACTCATGAAAACACATTCTAAAACTAGAAAAAGCAGACTGCACTTCAGGGAAACACTTTCCCAGCAGCAATCCAGAGGGACAGAAAAAAAGGGCAATTAAAAAGATGTCCCTAACACATTTTGTGATTTTTACAGCAGCAGTCTTTATCATTTATGGTAAGTACCTGATTTGATAAACATACCCATAAACTAAATTAGTTAAAAGCTTGATTTTAATATGAAATCTAGAAATGTCTCCAGATGATATGCAATTAAAATTCCATTCCCTGTATTATAAATATAACAAATCAAACTACCCCAGTAAATGACATCCTGAAAAGCTACACAGTTTGTGATTACCAATTCAATTTACCTAGAATTACCAATTTATTATGAATGCTAAGTTATTTAGCTCACTGGCATGCAACCAATATGACCTGCTATGTTCACAGGGGGATAAGCTTCTAGCATGTCTTCCAGCAAGAACAAAACAAAACAGTAAACATCACTAGGGTACTATTCAAAGTTGAAATTAGTGTGTTGCTCTTAAAAGAATTCTGTCATCTTCTAAACTTCAGCATTTCCACTTCTTATCAATGAATTGCTCAATAAGGTAAAGAAATCAACACAACACCAA